TCACTTCAATTCGGGGCTCATTCGACTTGTCACGACTTGACGACGCAGGCATCAAAATATAGTATCCGGATAGTATCCGCACAATATCGGTTGCCGATAGGGATTGCATCTGGATTATATATATACTGGCGACAACGCTCTGATGATACAACGAAACCTCACCCCTAAGCTCCTCCCCAGATCCTATCCTTCGACAATGGACCCCTCTAATCACAGGTAAGCCGCGAGTATTCGGCCCAACTCCTACTAGACATATAAATAAGTGAATTTTGTTACAAACAATGAACAATGAATTATCGGCTCCGTAAAGCTATCGCAATTGAGCCTTCCATGTAAACGAACTAGATAAACATAAACGATCGCGTAGTCTGGGTTTCCCAGTTTAATTCATAATTTGTACCAGATCTGATAGCGATTGTACGAACGATGATCTATAGACCAACATTTTAATAAAATAGGGGAAATATTGATGACATTAAGTAATATTGTTATTATTATTGTCAATCTCCAGCAATTGAAGATAATTGTGAATATATTGACATGTGTAACGTCCGCTTTAGATGTATAGACCAAGGTTATGTTAATTGCTCAGTTTGTGGGTCGTCGTCTTAGGCAGTTCCTGGAGTCAAACGGCCTCCTTGACGAACGGCAGCATGCGTTCCGGCAAGGACACGGCTCCTCCACTTACTTAGTAGCCCTCGGGAAAGTACTTAAGGAAGCCCAGGACAATGGTCACCATGCGGAGTTAGTCTCCCTTGATATTTCAAATGCGTTCAACAGGATATGTATACCTGGTGTCATCAGGCAGCTCATCGGCTGGGGCCTGGAAGGTCACATCACACATTTTGTACGGAATTTCCTCCTTGATCGTACCTTCCAGGTGACTTTCGGGAACACTCGCTCGGATTCGTTCCCCGAGGAATCTGGTGGCAATGAACGGGGTATTCAGCCGATTGCCCAAGAACGTGCACGTAATCTTTTATGCCGGCGACATACTCATCGTCGTAACGGGACGAACGACTAAGCGGACCAGGACCATAGAGCTGGTTTCCAGCTCTCCGCGCCGAAGAGTGTACGGTGCCATATCTGTCACTCGGGCCATCTGATTCGAGGACCACCGATCACCGTCCAAGATCATCCGCTCAAGAAAACAGTGCGTGTTCTGGGGGAAGTACTGGATCGCACCCTAAGCTTCAACCAGCACTTCAGGATGGTGAAAGAAAACTGTCTTAGCCGCATCAACATAGTCAGCACAATCTCCCGCCCGCATCGCTCCAGCAATCGTGAAATCCTCCTTGGATGGTCGACTGGAAATAACCTGCTTAACCACCGAGAAGCTCAACCACATCCTCACTCCAGTATACAATACCTACGTACGCAGACACCGCATGTGTGGAAATCGGAATCCTCCCTTTCCGCTATCGATCTGCTGCAGCCATTGCTACGAAAGCCGCTGCCCTCGCTGCTAAGACATCCGGGAACGAAAGGGTCTTTCTCCTCAACGAGGGGAACAAAGCCCTCCGCACTGCAGCCAACCGTGACCTCCCCCCGGTGGCCAGGGTACACTGGCATGAAGAGAAGAGTTGCCGATTTAAAACGTCGTCAAAATAGATAAGCGGATTAAGAGTGGATTCCAAGCCGGAGATAACTCTGTAGCTTTGAGACGTTCTGTTGCAACAAGTCAAAGTCTACCGGAGGAGTGTGCCGTCTTTTCCGCTGAAGCCGCAGCTACTCTAGACGCAGCCATCACTCCGGCAGATCAACCGATCCTCGTGTTAACTGACTCACACAGCGTCATCCAAGCGCTGGAAGCCGAAGCCCCGAGCCACCCCTGGATACAAGCTATTACACGGTACGCCCCACCTTCAACCGTCTTTACGTGGATCCCCGGACACTGCGGTGTTCCCGGAAACGAGCCTGCGGACAGACTGGCGGGATGGTGCATCCCGTCCCCGCTACACCAGGAACATACCCCTACTAGACGTCAGGCGTTGGATTGTTGAATTCCTAGCAGCAGGAATGGTTCCAGTCGCAGACCACTTTCCTGAGGAAGATCAAGGAAACCGTACGCTCCAGCGTCCTTACAAGGACCAGCGGATCATTTCAAGACTCCGGACCGGCCATGCGAGGATTTCCTGTAATTTCGGTGGTACACCTTATCGCAAGGTTTGTTCAATTTGCAGCATCCCTGCCTCGGTGGAACTCGTGCTGTGTGTCTGCCCGGAGTTCCAGAAGCTACGCGAACAACATAGACTCCCGGAGAACGTTAGTAATCTGCTTGGTTACGACCCCTCAACGTTGGCTGCGCTGATCGCCTTTCTGAAGGACGCCCACTGATTCGTGTTTTCCTCACCTTTCTATTTTTCTGCCGTCGGGGTTTCTCCGCCGGACGGAGCACTGTCTCCTACGGTGGAGCTCTACCTTGTTCGCGCTCCCAGTCCTCACCACAGCCTCGATGTAATCCTCACTTTACATTAAGTTTTTAAAATGTTGTCTGTCTCATTCGTTGGGTAATCAGAGCCAGCCAAAACGTCTTATATCATAAATCTTATTTGTTAACTGCAGCAGGCGCTTGTGTTTTGTGTAGGAATAGGAATTTGAGCGGGTTTCTTTTTGTTTATACTCTTTAGTATGACGCGCTTGACATAGATGGCCCACAACGACTCACGAAAAGCTACTGATTCCGATCAATAGCGGTGCGGCTTCTTCCTCCTTCTATGGATTGTCATGTGGACTGCTCTTACTGCTTACAGGCAGCCTTTCATTGTGTACTTCAGAACACCACCACTCACCACGCGTTTGGTAAGACCGGATGGAATTCAACTTTGAAATCTGTGTTAGGGAAATCGCTTTTCGCAGGCAATCGGTGATTCGTGCAATTTTCAATAGTGACATTTTGAAAAATGATAAAATCTTAATTTTAACAGAATCGTAGAAATATTCCTATCGATTGGCGTATTAAGAATTAAAATCCATCATCTCTGGATCAAAATAAGACCACTTTCATGCCGCGACCGACTTTGGTTTTTGAAATTGCACCCCCAATTAGAAGGCAACATTGGTATGTTAGATTTAAACATATCTAGATAGAGCTGGAATTTATTTATTTATTTATTTATTTGATGGTGATGTTGATTTGCGTGGGCAAGCTTTGAATTTCAAGACATCATCGAAAGCTGTTACGCCATAATTCCAGCTCTATCTTGATATGGGAACTGACATCCGATTGATGACCTTTACAAATGTCCATAACATACGCTTTTACAAATTTGGGGTGGTCCTGAAAAGGACCGTTTTGTCGTGATGGTTGAGTAATGCTGAGCTATTAGGGTGTTAAACACATATGATGCTGGTGAGCTGTATGTTGTTTGGAATGAGGATGCCGCACTTGGCATAGATGTGGCCTGCAGCTCACTTCTTGCAGGCAGCCTTTCGTTGTGTACTGGAGAACACTGTTCAACGCCACGCGCCGAAAGCACTGCTGCTGCTGATGCCGACGACCGGACACCACCACACACGGTGATTGGACTGAATCCGATCAGCGGTTGAGGGCAGTCTTGATAGCTAGCTGCTTGCGGGGAGCCTTTCGTTGTGTACTGGAGAATGCCACCACTCACCACGCGGTTCTTGATCAAACACCGTTTGGTGAGACCGGATTGAATTTAACTTTGAAGTCTGTGTTAGGGAAATCGCTTTTCGTGGGCTATCGGTGATAATTTTAACTATCATAGCAACAGTTGCACATTCGTGCAATTTTCAATAGTGACATTTTGAAAAATGATAAAATCTTCATTTTCGTAGACATATTTCTGATCCATTGGTGATAAAATTATTGAAATTGGTCCAGGGACACCTGAGTTATTAACGTTCAAAATCTTTCATAATTTTGTTACATGTTCCATTTTCGGTTTTTTAAAAAGTGTGCCCCCATATAGTAATCACAGACGTAGTGCTACGTCAAAAAAAGTTTGTGGGCAAAAGCAGCGGGGGTGCACGCTATTTCTAAACAATCCAATTTTGGGTAGGATCTACTCATATTCGTTAAAAGTACCCAAAATTAAGTAAACAAAGTTGGGAAAAGATGACATCCCACGTCCAGAAACATTTTGTAAATTTAACACATAATTTTATCAAACGCCACTAAAATAGCAACCGAATCAAAACCGTGAGTTTAGAAATGAGTGTTTCACTTCGATTGAACCAATATCCTGATGCTTCTTTCCGATGCTGCCAGACTTCAAACAGCACGTAGGGGAGAATGGTATAAAACGCACCCCCTGGGCAGAACGCACCAGCTGACTTTCATTTGTGTTTTTCATGGCCTTTAAGTAACTTTTTTGTTGTCTTATCAAGCAGCACTTCTAGCATAGTATCTGAACTCAAAATCCTGCATGATAAATCCTAGAATTGGATTTAAAATTCCAAGAAAAACTCAAAATAAAATGAAAAAGTGCGTCTTACCCCGGGGGTGCGTTATGTACTGTTCTCCCCTACATGTGTTGAAAGAGAACATTCGATCCCAAATGAGAGCGATTCGTAGAATTATCTCAATTACAAAATCCCATTATCGGAATACTGGTATATGCGCTGCCATCGTCATCGATTCCCCAAGTTCAGAGCAAGGTTTCCAACAGACTTTCGATCATCCATTGACACCCGGTTCTAGCTTTCCATTTCTCCAAATTGCGTAAGTTAATTAATGGAACGAAATGATACGCTCCGGCGCCGTTCGCACGAGAGTTTATCATATGTATATACCTACGAACCGAAGCACCAGAATCTACAGGAGAAGCGCCCCCCACCTCCACAGCACATCGATTTTGCCGGGGCATTTTCCGATTTCTTTCGCACCGCATATCGCCATTATCGTCAATTACCGAAATATCAATTATGCTTATTGAATTTTCTTTCTTTTTTCTCTCCCTTCTCCCGATCATCGCATGCGCCACACTCATCTACTAACCAAAACTAATTACTCGCCCTGGCTTTCGACCCCGAAGAGGATACCGCTGCTACTGCTGAACCCTGCCATCGCCAACGCCTCCCCGCTAGCAAACTTCGTGCACAAGGCGGAATCGAAGAAAATCAAAGTGCTATTTGCTACCCAATTGTGTTTTTCCCGCATGGCGTTGAAGAAAGTGAGAGTGTGAATATTGTGTCTGGCTTTCCGTGAAGCAACTTTGTTGGATGCAGCTATCCTGTGAGCGAACGACTACCGCCCGTCGCAGAGGAGCACCCAGAAAGAAACGAAAAGTAAAGAATACCCTCCCCTCCCACTCGAGATGGTGGCCCTGTGCAAACGAACTCCCGATCGAATAATTGATTTGTTCGAGAAAATAGGGTCTACCATCCCATCCCATCCCCAAACTAAAAGCACACATACGCACCCACACACAGAGATTCGCTTGAATATAAGATTTCCCGACAAATAAAAGAAAAAGGCCTATCATCTGTTGTCAACAAAACTTCTAGAACATACCGCCTACGCAAACCAACAATTCCATGAGATAACGGGAAATTCTTCCTTTCCCTATGTTGTTTTATTGGTCTGCGTAGGCTAACTCCAATTTGCGACCAAAGGCTGCGTTACATGTTTTGTTTACAAACGCTGATAGGCTCTTTTCTATTGTTGGTCGGGAGTTTTCCGAGAGGGGCAAAGTTTTCCCCATGTTTGTTTAAAAAAAGGAAGCAGAGCCTCGACAAACAATGTAACAATAACCACAAACACATGCACACACGCCAACAGAGCCACACTCAATTTTGTCCAACTTGGCAAAACAACTAACAAGTCGTCGTTCAAACATTATTGATGCACGAGGAAAATGAGGTGAAAAATTGGAAGAAGTTTCGAAGCGTTCCTCCTCTGGCTGTTCCCTTCTGGGCGGCTCCACCGAAGGATAGTTTTGTTTGTTTTGGCTTTGCCTCCCTGTTTAGGTGGGCATAAATGTGTACGTGTTTGTGAATGTCGGTTATTGGTCGAGCTTTTTTGTTGGAGGACTTTCTGCTTCACAGCAAATGTGTGTGTGTTCGAGTGTGCAAATCTACAAAATATTTTCCTAGATGGAAACAAAAACACAGTGGGCTTGTTGATCGAAAACATATGAAACTACACTAGAGGTTCGCTACACTTGACCAACGGCATTGATATTTTGAAATGTACAAATTTGACAGACAAATGGAACTTCTTTCAGCTATCGGACTTTCAGTTAAAAGACATTTCAGTTTGCGAACGTCTAGTGTGCATCTAGATTGGATGTGGTGGAAACTAGCGAGTGCCCAGAATAAGGATAAGAATTCAAAACATACTGCCTTGGCAACCTACGCCAAGACGGTGTCTAGCAACACTTCCAACATAGTATGAATAGATTAGTAACAGTGCAACTCGCTTGGCTACGACTTTGACAGTTTGATTGGCTTTGAACCTATGAGGGAAGAGGAGACAACTGGCTTCTTTTTGTCTGTGATGTTTTCTTCTTCTCTCGCGGAAACGATCACCGTGCAAAAATTATTTCATTATGGGCGACGCAGTCAACTGTCAAAATACAAGAAAATAGATTCCCTGTTGTAAAATTTTTCGCGTTTCTATACGGTCGCCCGACCAATCAGGCGCTGGTGCGCGTTTGACAGAAAAGTGGTTCATAAAAGTCCCGCTATTGTCTCCTCTTCCTCTTAGCTTTGAATCACAGTTAATTTACATTGCAGACGCTGACGTTAACGTCATTAACAACTCTACTCAGAACCAACCAGTCTGTTCCACTTTTGTACCGGACACTCGCTAGTAGAAACATCTGGAATGTTATGGAGTTTATACAAATTCATTGTAATCACAAATTAAAAAAAAAATTAAGATTTTTTTATGATAAACATGTATGTTGCATTGTAGATTCAGAAAAAAATGTGATTTGTGAAAAAATGTGACAGTTATCGATTAACAACCCTGACCTATACAATCTAATAGGAAAATCCATTGTTTACCAAAACAAAATCCAATCAGCCCCACTGTGCCCCCACGAACCATATACCGTGCAACGAACAAACAAAAACAAAACTAATCAATAGTTAATCCGTGCTAATAAATCACCTTGTGAAATTGTGTGCTTATAGGTTCTAAGCTGATCCTACCATAATACATCGGAGAGCTCAAACTTCGTTGAACAAGAACCAATAACAAACAGTAAATAGCGATAAGACGCTGCCTGGTGTTATTGTTGTTGCCAGAGAAAGAGAGAGAGAGAAAAAAGACGAAAACCCAGAGGCGTACGCAAAGCGAAAGCGAACCAAGCGCCCCGCGTGTGTATGTGTGTTGTGTTTGTTTACGTTTTGCTTGTTTTCATAAATAAACCATTCCGAGCGAGTGAGTGAAGTAGCTTTGCTTGTGTGTTAGCTGCTAAACGGAAACGGACTCCCGCGCTGCCCCTGAGTTTGTTTACCTAGGTAAACGAACAAAGAAACAGTGATAACACAGACCGACTGACCGACCACGGGGGGTCGGGAACGAAAAGGTCACCGCTGACTGATAAATACTGAGTGGGACCAGTATTCATACAGAGAAAGAGAGAGAGAGAGAGAGAAAGACACCCTCTGGGGTAGGCGAAAAGGAAACGGATACGCACATTCTTACCATCTACCCGGAACGAAACAGGTAAGTGCCCCCGATGTAGTTTTGATAAGTGTGCATAATGATGAGTCACGGCAGGTTGTTTATTTTGCCCTGGAGGATTTCGAAGCTCAATATTTATTTATTGATATTGCTGACCAAGCATTGAGGTGTGTATTTGCTTATACAAATCACAGTTGGTTTACCTTTGGTATTAGACTATGTTTGAATTATGATATACAGGTGTTTGATAATCGTGGTTAATTTGAGATAATGCAATGCTCCAGCACTAGTCTATACATATATTCAAATTATTCGATAACGATACATTTCATTATGGAATGGAACGTTTGCGAGGGAAAGAATCAAACTTTTCCACGGTCCTCTTCAATATTAGTTTGTATTAATTCAGTCAATTTACACAAATTTGTGTTTTAATTTGTGATCCACACTCCAAACAAAACAGTAGTAAATCTGGGTGTTTACTACCGAAAAATAGCCTGTACATCCGGTAATGCTGGAATTTTCAGAAAATTTCATCATTACTCAGCGAATTTTCAAAATTATCTTTCTAAGGATTTTTTTTAAGGAAAGAATGCATTTTATTTTCCTCGTCAGCTGGAAACAATGGTTACATAGGGTTACATGATGTAATTTCAGCCTAGCTCCTCACTTCGACCTATCAAGTAAATAATTCCTTCATTCAGCAATAATACACAATAGTAATGAAAAACTAATACCTCATCTGAAATTGTAATGCGTAAATTAATTGCTTGTTTATAGGAAAAATTTAAAACATATATTGTACTTTTCACAACAAATTTTGTGAAGTTTTAATATTTTACTAAAATCTTCACTGCGGTGTGTGGGGGCGACCCCCCCCCCAAAGTCACGAGTTCAAATATCACCCCCGGACAAGTCACGAATGACCCAAGAGTGACCTAAGTGACTATAATAAAAAAGAAAAAAGAAAAAAAAAAACACTGCGGTGTTCATCAAATAATCAAATAATTTCCTTAATGGAAAGGACTTACCTTTTTGTAACATTCTAGCCTAATAAATCAATATCACACTCTTCACTCTTATTGTAAATTTAGAATATTTAAAGCTTTTTGCGCTTTAGAACCATGGGCCGAACATTAGGGACGTAATTTAGAACTTCGAACTTCATTTAATAACTTTGTGTTTTGGTATTGGTAAAACCATTCGCGTTGACAACGTTGCAAGTGTTCGCTCCTAATAAAAATTCCATAAGCAAAAGTTAAATTTCGTGAAACATAGTGGATTGTTTCTTATTCTTTCAATCCACTAAAAATCCCGTAGACAAAATGTTATTTTTTGCCTGGAAGAACGGGTCAACACGGTACATATGCTATTTCTAACCAAAATTTGAGTAGAATCAACTCATATGTATCAAAAGTAGGGCACCTCGAATTGAGTAAACAAAGTTATGACTGACAAGATGGCGAATGGAAAACATCGACCTGAATCTGAACCAACCCTACTTTTGACAGATATTAGTAGATCCTAATCAATTTTTGGTTGTTTAGAAATAAGATGCTCAATCCTGCCGTCAAAACAAACTTCACGGCAAATGAAACAGACTAAGATTTAAGTACCGTTCACTCAAATTCGCAAAAGCGTAGGTCGATCGAATGAGTAAATTTTTATCAAATATTAGTAAATGCCACTTCCCCGGGGGAATAAGCGTTAATAGGATGTTGGGTTGTAGGGGGCATGGCCCTAGCTGGCATGACATCAACTATCTCGGTAGATTCGAGAGTTACCATAATTTCAGTTTGGGTCTTACTAGTCCTTATGAGAATCAGGTTGCTCGGGACTATCTGAATATTTTGTCTCGGGAAAATATTTTTGATGATTCCTGGGGGACTGATTTGGACGAAGTAAGATCTATAATTTAATGTTTCAAAATATGAAAGCTCCAGGTGATGATGGAATTGTCTTTATCCTCATATATAAAATAATTTAACAGATCCTCATCCTCATATTGGTCATTCGAGCTCAAGTGGGTACAGAATTTAAAAAAGTTGTGGTCGATGTCACCGATTTGAGCCAAAATTGTCCAAAACGCTTATTTTGGCATTCTGAACAAACGCCTTTTTTATTTTGCTTTAAAGTGTGCCACTTTTTGTTTTTGTTATAGTAACTACAGTAAACAGGCTGATTACCGTCAATAATTTGCCTATTTTCATTAGATTATATATATTATATGAAATCATAACTAGCTCATTTATTTACTTATGTCCATAATTTTAAAATCAAAAAAGGCGTTTGTTTAGAATGCCAAAATAAGCGTTTTGGCCCATTTTGGCACAAATCGGTGACATCGACAACATGTGGTATACCCACTTGAGCTGGAATGACCCATATATAAAATTATAAATCAGATGTTTCCATTTGGCACACTTTCCTGATAAATGTAAAATTCAAAAATTGTTCCTATTTTGAGGCCTCATAGAAATCCAGCTGAAGCTTCCAGCTACCGTCCAATAAATTTGCTTTCTTCAATAAGCATATTTTTTGAAAATATAATTTTAAATTCCTACGGAGCGATTCCACACGAATTCGCAAAACCATTAATTTTCGTATTTTTTTTATTTGGCTGAAAATTTTCAGAAACGTTCCTCATGACCAACAATGTAAATGATGATGGTGGTCCCACCTCTTATCCCTACAAAGGTTTGAGCTGGACTATTTATCTTTAAGTAAGATAATTTAATATGACAATTTAACCAGGTTTGCAAACAAAATCAAACTGGTTACAGTTACAGATATAAATTCCTTCTAGAGTTTACAGTTGCATCACAGCGATATTAGTTCGCCTTTTAGTCCACATTTTAGTTTTTTCATAAGTATTACAAGCAATCAAGAGTTAATGAACAACCAACAAAGCGTCATATTACACTAGCAACCCCGCAATCTGATGCTATGATAATTTTCAGCAATGTCAGGAATACTCACGAACCCCCAACATTTGCCAGAAAACTTACTACTAACTCAATGTAACTTTCAAATAAGCTTCAAATTGCATTTTTTTTATCAAATGTTAAATTCAGTCCTCTATATCCGTAATACGCGCGCGAGGCTCAAACCTTTGTAGACAACTTTTTTTGTTTAATGAATCTACTACTATTAAATCAAATATTAAAAATCCATCGTGGTGAACAAAAATAGTTTTTTCAGTGCTCAAATAATTATTAAAATGTCATTATGGCAGCTATCCATACAAAATAATCCGTTCCGTTCGTCAAGATACATAATCTGTCAATTCATAAAAAAACATCACTGGATAACTTTTCGAACGACAGATTTAAGGTGTGAAATGCAGTGTCTCTTAAATTCTGTAAGTGTTGCTGAACGTTTGATATGTCTAGGGATCGAATTGAACACATTTATTCCTTTAAAATATAATGAATTTTGTGAAGCACAAGTCAAGAAATGTGGTGTTCTTATTTTAATCTATGAAAGTCACTTCCTCTTTCAATTCGATCACACAAAGATCGAGGCAGCAAACCGTTGACTACTTTAAAAATGAACACCATCGTCAAATATACAATTCTTTGCTTCACCGACAACCATTGTAAGGCGTCTTGCATCAAAGTTGAGGAAGTGAATCTATTACATCTCAATATCAAACGCATTATTTTATCCTGCAAGCGCTGTAATCTCGATATTTGTGTTTCATTGATCAGAAATAAAATGGAAGGACAAAAGTCTAGATGAGAAGAGATGATTGATTTGCATAGCTGTATATTACTGGCAATAGCTAAATCGTTTTTCAGTCGACGTAGAATTCCATACTTCTTGGTAATTTTCATGATGACATTGTCAATGTGAGAGTTGAACGCCAAGATATTTAATCTCCCGAACGCGATCAATAGTCTCATCATCAATTACAACAGAGACGTTCGCATTTAATAGATTCCACGAAATCACCATAAATTTAGTTTTACTTGTATTCAATTTCAACTGATTATACTTCAACCATCTACTTAGAGAACGCAAATCTTCATTCAAGTGTAAAACGGCATCATCTAAATCCTTAGCAGCAATGAATAACACAGTATCATCTGCAAAAAGATTAATGTCGCAAAATCGTAAAACATGTCACAAGTCATTAATATACATAATAAATAACAGGGGCTCTAATACACTTCCTTGGGGCACTAGAAGGTTATTCCCCACGAGACTGGAAACAGAATCATTAAAAATAGTCCGTTGAGTTCTGTCAGACAAATAGCTTTCAAACCATTTATATGCAGTGCTCGTAATTCCAATGCGCTCGATTGATCTTAACAATAAGGGCCTAGAAATTGTTTCAAAAGCGCGTTTAAGATCCAAAAAACAGCAACAATCTGGGGGTAAGACAGCTATCGATCATGAGTAAAACCGAAGTTAATTTTGAGTAACTCTGAGTAACTCACGCTGCTCCATGTCTTATATACACATAGTAACCTGATTGTTATATTAAAAATAAAGTTGAAACCGACGCTGTCAAGCGAAGAAACTTTAAAGCTCAGGTTGTACCTCAGGTAACCGAAAAGGAGCATTGCCCTTTTGGAACGGGTCACTCCTGTCACTCCTGTATACGGCCGAGGACAGATGTCAATCCTCACCAACAAGGGAAGGCGCCTGAAAGGCATCCAAACCTCGTAAACCCGTCGTGCAGTCAAACCACCACAGTAGCATTTCGTTAGTCCACAATTCGATTTGTTAAACGAGCGATTCGATCTGTCAAATGTGCGAACAGTTGCTTCAAACGAAATATGTTGTCAGACGATATTTCTTTGATAAGAAAATCGAGACTGCTTTGATCATTTTTGAGTAAATATGAGTAACTCAAATTTACTCGCTGCAAATATATTTACTCTGAGTGCAGCTGTCTTTCCCCAGGCAACAATCGTATCTTCACACAAGTTATTTTTCCACTTCACTAATACCAAATTCAACGCGGTTTCACAAGAATGACCTTCCCGATATCCTGATTGTTCTGGTATCAATTAACTATTACTATTTAAATACTC